CAGGCTCAGGAAGCCAGGTTTATTTTGGAGAGGGCAGGAGAGAGCTGCTCCCCTGCAGCCCCCCACCATTGCACTGCATGCCCTGAGCAGGACCCTGCCGAGCCCCCAAAGCCTCCGCGACCCCCTGGCTTCTCCCGGGGGCTGCTCGTGTCACCTCCCCTGCTCCCTGTGGCCCTGGCAGCCACCGGCCCCGGCCCCGTCACAATGCTGCCGCCACCAAGCTCCTCGCCCAGCATCAATTAGCAGCAGTATAATGAAGCTGAAGCGAGCTGGGGGGACGCCTGCAGGAGGGACGGCGGGTCCCCCTGCCCCAGCCGCAGAGGGGGCAGCCGCGCAGCTTCCCTTCTTGCGCCGCCACAAACCCAGCCCCAAAGGTGCTGCATGGCTTCAGGGTGCCTCTGGGCACCCCGGGGACCTGCGGTGCGATGAGCTCAGCTCTCAACGCCCCTCATCCATTCCCCCGTGGGAATGCTGGGGGGACCGAGTGCGGTGGCTGGCAAGTCTCCGGTGGCACTGGAGGAACTCTGCCGGGAAGCGCTGCTGGGGCGCTGGGACACTGCGCCCTGAGGAGCCGGAGCATCCCGGCCCCTGGGGTCGACCCGTCCCCCTGGGTCCTGCAAGCCAAAAGCCCTGCCACAAGCCTGGTCCCCTCCATGCCAGCGCTTTGGTACTTCCCCCAGACTGCTCCTGCACCTTCAGCTTCCTCACGGAAAAACTCAGCTGCGAGCCCACAACCAGTGGAGTTTCTGCAGGGCAATGCACAGAAAGGGAGGAAAAGTATTTTCTTCTGCGGGATGCACCCGGGACCCGGGCTCCATCCCCATCCCCGGCCAGCACAACGGGGCGTGAGAGCGCAGGCACTGAGGGCACTGAGGATTCCTGGCCAGGAAGCCCCCAAAGCCCTGCTGGGCCAGCCTGGGGAGGGTCTGCGGACCGCAGCCTCCCAAACACGCTGCCGCCGGAGCAAGAGGAGGTAAAATGCACACGGAATTAACTTGAATATAAAGACGAAGCCTCTGCACTGATTGATGGGCCTGAGCCCCCGAGGGTGAGGCACTGGGCTGGGGGGAGCTGCGGGACCCCTGCCCCGGGCACCCCAGCGTCCTCCCCAACCGCTCAGGTGAGGGATGCAGGGGAGGCGGCGCTGAGCATCTCCCCACTCTGGGTACCCGTCCCCGTATTTCAGCCCCTTTTTCACTGGGTTTGCAAACAGCCCCCTCAGCAAACAGCCCCCCCCCCAACACGCCAGGGGAAGGGCGAGCTGAGCACAATCACACTGCCCTGCTCTGCCTGGCAAATGGCTTTCGACCAGCACCTCCCTGTTCATGCCCCGCACCCCCCGCCTGCTCCCGGCCCCCCGCCCGCAGC